CCCCCCCCCCCCCCCCCCCTAAAAAAAAAAGCCTGGAAGAATTGCGCTCCGTCAGTGCGCCCTGCCTGCCAGTCGGAGGATGGGGATTTTTTTCGCCCCCACTCATCCACGTCCCCTTTCTCCCTCCTCCTCCTCCTCCTCCTCCTCTCAAACAAGCCAGTCGGTCTGTCAATGCGCTGCGAGCATTAGGGCAAGTCAAAGCAGTGGGATTGTGAAGCAGAGAGACGGATGAGATAACGAATGAAGCGCTTTCCTGCGGCCGAGAAGCGAATCCAAATGATGCGCCACATCTGAGAGGCGTCAATTTCCAAACCGGGGGACCGATGATCACAACTCGCCTATTATTTCCTTTTTTGTTTTGAAAAAAAATCACTTCACAAGTTTCACGTTGGCCTTTTGCGACACCACCAGAGCGGAGATGCTTTTCTAGCTCTTTGGTTTGTTTCTCCCACTTTGCTTCTGTAGAATTGATTCTTGGACTTGTCATCAATTCGGATCTTGATTTTTTTTAAATTTTATTCTTATTCTTTATTTTCAACGAATCCGTTGCTTAAGGATTTGCGGATTTACAGCCCGTGTTGAACCTGTGTGTCCTACAAAGAGGAGAACGAGGACTGCGATGCGCATTGACTAAGCCCACCGAGCATCAACATGTCTTTATGGGGAGGATGGAGCCGCGGACACGAGTGACATCTTTCCCGTTTTAAACGCCTTTTGGCGACTGTCTCCTCCTAACGGACTGACAATATCTCCCCTCAGCGCGGCCTGACATGTTGGAGGGTAGATATTCTTTGGAGAAAAGAAGGTAATGGGAAAGAAATCACACAGAGTCGGCACGGACAACAAGGGAACATTGTTCGGGAAAAGACAATTAGGGTGCACTGAAAGGCAACAGAAATAGCTGTTGGGTGGCGATAAATGTCCGAAAACTCGATTTGGTGGAGTTATATTTGAGCCGAGGAGCAGTGTTTGGGAGAGAGAGAGAAAAATAAAGAGGACTAACGACAAATTGATGGGAAAGTCATGGGATTGGCACTGAAATAGTAGGCTACGACCGCGGACGCGCACAATCCCCGTCGTTTTTTTTTTGGAGATCCAGACGCGCGGATTGAACAAGTTTCTCCTGCACAGTCCGCTTTGTTTTGGTGCTTCGATCCAGTCCAATTTTGCCGGATTCTTTCATTCCATGAGGTTGTTGTACGCTGCGGGCTTTCACTTCACACTTTGACCGCCTCTACCTATAAACCTGCTCGGCTGCAGTCGCACCTCCATTGTTTAGAGAGATCTCCTCGCTCACAAAGCATCGAGTACTCGGAAGAAGCTAGAAAAAAAAAATAAAAATAAATATATATATATATATATATATATATTTTGCCCATTTTCTTTTAAATGGGGCTGCATGGGCTGGGCGAAAGGGTTGAAATGGCGTGTCGAAGATGTGGGGATGGATTGGGGATCCTGCTGATATTCTTACTGGATTTACTGGCGACGACGGCCAGCAATATGGAGCCCATCTACTGGAATTCCCTGAACGAGAGGTAAGAGCACTTGTCACCGGCAGACCTTTTTTTTTTTTTTTTTAACTCATCGAGTAATCGCTTTAATTGTGCGTTTTCAAACTTGTGGCAGAAGAGGAGATTTGGGCAACGTTTGTAATGAACGCAAGTAACTCTTTAAGTGTCCGGCAGCGATGCAACGCGGCAGGCAAAGTTCGATAAGGTCAGCGGTTCGCTACTGTTTTGCCAAATTCATTGCACTTTTTTTTTTTCTCCCCGCAAAAAAATCACACAATTCTGTTAGTTGTTTTTGTTTGCAGTCTCTCAGCACGGGTTCAATGGGAACACATGTAGTTGGATAAATGGATACACCTTGAGCTGCTTTGTTTCACAGCTGCCATTCGTTTGTCACACTGGCGTTGATTACAGTGGCAGATCCAGCTGTAGCTCTTCTGTAAAAGATAGAAACTGTGTGTGTGTGTGGTGCTCTAGTCGCTGTTGCTGGGTGACCTTGATTTAAAAGTCCAGGCCCCGGCCCCGCAGGCCTCTCAAACACCCACTCGGCCCTCGGCCATTTGCATCTTTTTCTCTGTCCCCGGGAGTAGGTGTCGGGCATTAGCTGAGGAAATGTCATTTTAAAAACACCTCTCGGCCTGTCCGGGGCCTTAACGACCGACACCACTTTTCTCACACCTCTGCTAATTTCCCAGTGTCTGAATAGATGCCCGGTGGCGGCGAGGAGGAGGAGGAGGAGGAGGGGTGCTGAAGGATAACAAGGCAGCCTCTATGTGTGGAGTTTTTTATAAGACACCAGCCTTCAATTCTGGAGCTTTGACATGTTTTATTTCTCATCTTAATAAATAAATACATGAGGTCCACCAAACTATCAGCCTCAAGGCGACACTGTCACTGCTCCCATTTCTTCAACGTTTGCACATGACTCACTTTATAATGCAAAACAAACAACAAGAAGCTACAAAAGCAAATTCAGACTCACTGATGCGTGCTGTATAGCAGCCTACCAAGCCTTGCCATTCTCAGCGCACACCAATGCCAGGAGCTCTTTTTATATATTTTAAAGAGTGTAACAGGTTTTAATGCGCCAGAGGCCACGGCCTGCCCAGTTTCTCCACAGATGTGACTGTGCGTGGGCCCCCCCGCTGTGGAGCCAGGCATGAAGCCCTTAATGAGGGCTTTTTGTCAGCAGTGGGTGGATTCACCCAACAGGGAGTAGAGTTGGACACGCGAGGGTGGTTCTCAGTGAGAAGCCAACAGCTCGGGCTTTTGAGGCCTCACAGGTGATTCCACGCTATTGTCTCCTAATGGAGTTTGGTGTCGGGTGGGTGTCAGGGCTCAGTGAACGGGGCCTGGCTGGCAATTAGAGGGGTTGTGGCTCTCCACGGCAGATTCCGTAGTTATTCCCACAGATTTGCTCACTCATATATCCAAAATACAAAGCCTATTGTATACTATGGAGCTTATTCGTGAGGCTTACTATTCATAGTTAATCAGCTTAGTCATTCCTCCAGTTTATTTTCTTGGCCCCCTTTTTTTTCAAACACACTTCCATGTTCTTGTTTCTCTTCGGTCCCTATGTGAAGAGAGCAGTACGCTACTTTGGTTTCATCTGCCTGGGGGCAAAATAGGTTTTGGCCCTGGGCTGAAATATGTTGAGAGCCCAATGTTTGTCCAAATAGTGAGCGTCTTCCAAGGACAAAGTCCTGAGCCCGCACACATGCGGTTTGTACTTCTGAAATGAGGCGCAAAGCAATGCAGGAGCAGCAGTCTGTATCAATCAGGTGCAGGAGTGTATGTGGTTCGCGTCTCGTCTGTGTAGCAAATAGACTGTCACGTTGTTAACCTCTCGACCTCTGCTGGTTGCTCAGCTTTGAAGTTCAGACCGTCCACCTGCAGCCTCCCTCCACCTCTCCTCCCATCTTCCTTTTCCACTTCTGCGAGCAATTTCCTGCTCCCTCTCTTCCTCGCCCTCCTCCCTGCCTTTCACCCTCGTTCTTGTTATTTTTTCCTCCTCTCGTGATGCTTCTATTTCAACGGCTTCTCTCCCCCCCCCCCCCCCCCCCCCCCTTTTTTTTTTTTTCTTCTCCTCTTGTCACTTTCCGTCTGTCTCTATCTCGCTCCGTCACTCCACCCACCCTCCGGTGCAGTGACCAGACGTAGCAAATTGGAAACATGTGTCACATCCAGCCACTAATTATAGCGCTACAGCAGCCACTGACGGACCCGAAGATGTGTTAGGAGTGACAGAGGTGAAGAGGAGAAGGAGGCACCCACGGGCCGAGGACGCGCTTGCCTCAGACTCATACTGCCCGAATAACTATACTTGAATACATAATAATCGAAACGTATCAGGTTGACCTAAGTTGCGGTAAAATAATAGTAAATAATAGAAATGCTCACGGCCATCAAGTGCCGCATCCACCCTTTTATTGACCGCTCCATCCGTTGAAATTACAACGGCCTGCCAGAAAAGAAAAGAGACAGTGGTGTGCAGGGAGGCATATAAGCAGAGCCAGGTGCCGGGAGGTGAATGAGAAACAGAGGGAGCGGTAGAGAGAGAGCAGAGGCAGTCCTAACCCTAAGTAAATCAATACCAGTTAAGTCTCAAGTGCCAATACAGGTTCTGCTTGAGGAAGAGAGAACTGAACCAGAAGGATCACCTTGGGAAGGAAGAGCCCCCCCCCCCCCAGAGACATACATTATCCTTATCTCAGCATCTCCTATTATCGGCCTTACACGGCCGCCCTAATGAAAGATCGAATCTTACATCACTGCACGCACACACACACACACCCAGGGATCAAAGAGGTCACACTAGTGGTGGACACACACACACACACACACACACACACACACACACACACACACACACACACACACACACACACAGACAATGAATGCAAGTAGAAGTGCATCTTTGTCTTTGTCTTTGTCTTTGTCTTTGGCCGCTCCTCTGATCACAGCATAAGGAGTTTTGTAGCTTTTGGCCCTTTGAGCGAGTTTGATTCCAGTGTCTGTTGTGATTCAGCCCTCCCAGTGCTCCCAGCTTCTCTCCTCCTCCTTTCCCTCTCCATACTTCAGTAAAAAGACTGTAGATTATTGTAAACGGCTGCCGAGGGTGGGCCGTCTCCTCGCTCGGCGCTCGCGGTGACTTGTAATACAACTATTCCCCCTAAGATCCACATTAATATTTAATCCCCCCCCCTCCCCCCTTTCCCGTTTCTCAATAATTCATTAATCGCCGGCTAATTGGCGCCGGATAAAAGAATAGCTAACTGGGCTAAGTGCTTCAACTAAAAAAAAAAAAAATCTGTAGAAAAGGCTCCTCAAGAAGAAAAAAAAATCACTGGAAATCGTCTTGGCTGGGGCATTGTGTGACTGAGAGTGGAATAAGTGTTAGTGGGTCAAACAGGGTGTCGTATCAAAGGAGCCGCATTCCACACGTGTATTGATTGTTTGTATGTTTGGAACTCGACACCCCCCCCCCCCCCGCCCCCCAAGTAAACTCCACCCGCAGGTTTCCCCGTCATGAATAATGCATGCCTGCACCGAGGCTTTTCTGGGCTGTGTGGATAAGTAAGCAGGAGCTTGGTAAGCCTACACGCATCCTTAGGCGTAATGATTAGAGAATATCCACTCGGTAGTTTTTATTTTATTTCAAGAGCGAGGGAGTGTAAAAACAAGAGAAGGAATGCAGTGGAGAGAGAGGAGAGAAGGAGAGAATATGAACCACATTGCTGGAGCTGCCCTGTTAAAGCGAGCCGGCAGCAGCTCCCTCACTCCCTTTCTCTTCCGATCTCCCCTTCTCCCTCGGTGAAAAAGAGGAGTGTGTGTAAGTTTACGAGCTGCGAGCAACAGGAGCTGTGAAAAGAGGTTTCGGCTGATGTGGCAGAATGGAAAGGCCATGG